TTGAGTCCAAAAGAGCTTCCTGACTGGATGTCTCATCCCTGTCCTCTGCATCAGTGTCCTGCTGATTAATGGTGGCGGTGGCAGTGTGGCCCCTGTGACTGGGAGCTAGGGAGGGACTTTGGGGCCATTAGGCTGACTGTATCCTACTTTCTGCTCACTCCCCTGGGTGGTGCTATCTAGGGCTGCTGCGAGGACGACTCTGGGTGCTCTAGTCATATGCACCCCATTTCCTTCTGCCAATCCAGTTTCCACTCTTCCTCCCTTTCTTGAGTGGCTGACAGACACACCCGCTTTGGAACAATCCGGACAGCCAGCAATGAGGACTCCAGATTCAGGAATATAGAATTTCATGTAGCAAGTGTCCAAGGTTCTATCCATCCAGCTAAGAGGATGTCCTACCAAATTGTCCCCATGACAAGCTGTCCTGACGTCACCCATGGGTGTTGCATGTGCACCAAGGAATTGCTGGCCAGGTTCCACTCAGCAATGCTGGGAGGGCACCGACGCATGGACGCCAAGATCAGAGATCCACATGCCTGAGACCCTCGAATGTCCAGAAGTGGGGCCCTGCCATCTGATCCTGACCTGGAAGGAGCTGGAAGCACACTGGGTTGGTCCAGGGGAGGCCAGTGGCTTCAGCTGAGAGGTGGACAGCAAGAAGCTCACCCAGCCTGGCAGCACAGGCAGGGACAGCCAGGATGCCAAAGAGGCCAGCACTATGGGTAGCCCAGCTACTCAATCCCCCAGATGCTAGTCCCCGAGGTCTCAGGAGGCAGCAAAGCACAATGATTCAAAGCTTGGCATTTTTGGTCAGTTGCCCTGGGTTCAGAGCCCACTTCTGTTATTTCCTTTCTGTTGGTAAGTTTTTTCCTCCAGGAACAGTTTCTTTATCTGTAGAATGGGTTTACCTCCTTGGGTGATTATAAGGATTTAGAGAAACAGAGCCTATAATCAACCCCTGCATAGAAGTAATGATTGTTGCCTGGCTGCCTAAGCCCCCAAGCTCTTGCCTTCCTTTCCCTTTCTAGCTTCATTCTTGTTCCTTGGACCAGCCATCCAGGGGACGTGGACCCTCCCAAAGGCACCATCGTGCCAGTGCAGGGTAACATCCAACAGTTGATTCAGTGGGGGATGTTTTTAATGTAGGGCATAGGTTTTCTTAGGGTGTCTGTGTTGTGCCATACCAAGCAGAAGGTGAGACCACCTTGAGCCTCAAAAGCCTTTTTATCCTGGCAACTCTGTGAATTCACAAAATCCATAATACTGTCATCACAAGGCTACCACTGCCGGCTTCAAAGTGAGCAAGTTCCTTGTAGGGAGATGAGCGGTACAGGCAGCATCATACCACCAGGGGGCGCTGCCTGGCTGGTCTCTCTCTCTCTCTCTCTCTCTCTCTCTCTCTCCCCCCCCTCCCACCCCCCCCAATTTCCCAAGAAGGCTGAGGGAAGGCAGAATCAGGAGCATTAACAGGGACCCTTCATATCACTTGGGCCCTTACAGTTTGCCTCCTGTTCTTGTACATGCATTCCACCTCAGGACTAAGGGGATAATGCCCAGATAATGAATTAAGTCTCAGAGAGGTGAAGGGGCTGCTCGAGGCCACCCAGCTGGTAAGTGGCAAAGCAGAGATCCCTGCTGGGCTTGCATGATGCCAACCCCCGGGGCTCCAGCCTCTGAGCAGGGGGGAGGCAGCACGGCGAGGGGGCAGCAGGAGGGTGTCCTGGGAGACGGGAGCCAGCTCTGAGTCTTGCTCTACCTCCACCCAGCACAGCTGACCATTCCTATCCATTCTCCTCCCCTCTCCCCACATCGTGGGATTTCAGGAAACTTCTCTCGCTGAAGAAGGTGAGGGGCTAAGGCAGCACGAGTGGAGCCCTCAATACTCAGCCAACATATGTGCTTTTCCTGGAGCACAGCCTGGCCTCTTAAGGGATGATTTTCAGTCCTGCCAGAGACTTCCACACTAGCCACCCCAACTAGCCACAGACACCCTAGCCTGCAACTGTACCCCGAGTCTGGGGCAGATGCTGGGATGCAAGGAGCCAAGGCAGTGTGCTAACAGGGGAAGCCTAAGGCCACCACTCACTCTACATCATCACTATGCTCAATGCTGTACATGCAGCCTCATGTAATCCCCGGGACGGCCTTAGGATGCACAGTATCATGATCTCCATTTTACAGGTGAGGACTCTGAGGCTCAGAGAGTACCTCTGCAGCTCTGGGGTTGGGGGTTGTCTGGCTTTCCTCCCATGTCTGCTGCTGACTGACTAGATGCACAAGGAGAGGGCAAGCGTGGATCTTGGCCTCTGCCGAGTTCTGGAGAATGTAAAGGACACGAGAGCTGGCGGTCCTCCAGCAAAGGTCTCCAGAGCACCAACTCTTGGAGACAGGGAGGAAGGAGACTGTGGGCTTCCAGGAGCTCACAAACCTAGGGGGTCAGCCAGGTCCTCAGTGGAGGATAGATTGCAACCAGACTTGTGAGCGAGCATGTGCAGAGGCCAGCAAGAGTGACAGGGGGCTCTGGTGGTCAGCCAAGGTTTACAGGAGGAGGGGAGACTGGAACCAGTCATCAAAGAGTGAGGAAGAACGTGCTCTGCAGAGCAGAGATGTGGGAGACCTGTGAGCAAAAGCTAAGGCGTTAGGGTCCTGTGGCTGGGTGGGGAGACAGGTGAACAAGGGCTCCTCTCTGGGACACACCCATGGTCTTATGAGAGAGAGAAGGTGCAGGAAGATGCTGGGTGTCCATGGAGGGGCGTGCCTCAGGGAGCCCATGCATTATGATGATTCCTCCTGGTGGAAAAAATGAGGTTTGGGATTTACTATAGTCGGAAAACTGCATGCCTCCATGAGTGTGAATGTGTACACATGAGTGTATCTTTGAAGCCCTATGTCAAAGTCGTTTTATATCTCTGATCTCTTTTTACTTTCCCAACTACCCTGAGAGGTTGGCTGGACAGAAATATCCTCAAGGACGGAGGAGAATACAGAACTCCAGTGGGCTGAAATGTCTGGCCTGTGGTCATGGGGCTCAAAAGTTGAAAAGCCAAGGTCTATCCTGGGCTCCTGGCCCTAGCTCTATGCTCCTGCCCCAAACTTCCGCCTGGACTGCCATCCTATCTCCCAGGACCCTGCGTGCCACAGGCTACCATGCCCCCTGCCTCCTCTTGCATTTTCACAGGAGAACCCCCACCAGGTCTGGTGGGTCTGGGAGCAGGAGTGAAGGACTGAAACAGAAAGATGAGGACCCACTGGCTGCAGATGCCAGAGCCCAAGTCCAGGGTTGAGGGTCCATCTTCTTCTCCCAAACTGCTTAACGTGCCCGCCACCGGGCAGTTCCTTTAGGAGGAACTGCTGCAGAGAAAGGACCGGGAGGGGTGAAGCCCTGGGCTGGTTCTCTGGGGCAGACTTGGGGAGACGGGCCTCAGGTAGGGGCTCCCTAGTTTGACCTCTTCTTTCCAGAGTCTCCAGTGGGATGGCACTGAGGACCGAAGATCGGGGGAGTGGACTTCTGCTCCCTGCCAGTACCAGTGGGCACGTGCAAAGCTCTCCCTTAGTGCCAGGCCCTGCTCTGAGGGCTGGCGCACATATCCTCAATCTCCACAGCCACCTCCGGAGGAAGGTTCCATTATTACCTCCCTTTTACAGATGAGGAAAGGGAGGCACAAAGAGGTTCAGTGACTTGCTCAAGATCCCTCAGTTTGTAAGTGGTAGAGCTGGGGTTGAACCCAGGACATCTGCCTCTAGGAGCTACTCTGCCCCTGTTATTAGTAACATTCATAGGCAAAGCCACCATTTGACCAGTACCTCCTCTGTGCCCGGGGCTTAGTTCCTTACAGCAAGCCTGGGACTTGGGCACTACGCCCTGCACACTTCTCATCTCATAGATGAGTAAACCTAGGTTTGGCAGGCGGCCTGGGGTGAGGCACCTTCAGAATCCCACAGATGCCAGGTCTACCTAAATCTGAAGTGTCCACTCTCCCCAGCCTCTATGACTCCCTGTGTGACAGTGGGAAAGCGCATTCCCTTTCAGAGCCTCAGTTTCCCTATAGCCTACTCCTGGCCTCCCTGCTCCAGCAAGTGACAACGGAGTGGGGTTTGGTGCTGTGGGAGGGAGGGTCTGGGCAGCTCAGAGCCTTTCCCTTCCCTCACCAGGCCCCCTCCCCTTCCCCCTTCGCAGAAGTCCAGAAGTCGCCCTTCGGTTTTGTTTTCTGTTTGTTTGTTTTGTTTTTTTCCTCGATTGGTGAGTTGGGACGGGGAGGTGCTGGGTGCAGAAGGTCGCTGCTGCGTCACTCAGAGGTCAGCGAGGCTGGCTAGAGAAGGCCCAGCTCCCATCTGGGGAAGGTCCGAAGGGCCCAGAAGCCAAGTGCTCGGGGCAGTTCTGCAGGGAGCGGACTGTCCTCTGGGGAAGAGAGAAGCACCCCGGACTTGAGGAGGGGGCGGGGAGGGAGAGCCAGAGGAGGCAGGTTCTGGACAGAAGGGGTGGGGGTGGGGGGAGGTAGAGAGGACGCGGACAAAGGAGGCGGCCGGCAGCCCAGCTGTTTTGAAAAATGCTTCCTGTTTCTTTAAAGGCGCTCGCAGCTCGGGCGGCCGGGGCTGGGGAGGCGGCGGCGGCGGCGGGGGGGGCTGCCTCCTCTCGGGGCGGCGGCGCTGACTGATCTCGCGAACTGGGCTTCTGTGTAAACTGAGGCTAAACAAACACAGATGGAGCGCAGCGGGCGTTCTCCAGAAATGCTGGCAAGGCGGCAGCGACTTCAGATGACACTCTGAGCGCTCCGGGAACGGACAGCCCGGCGGCTTCGCGGAGCCGGCGGCGCAGCTGCCCCGGGCGAGGGGGAGAAAGGGAGGGAGGAGGGCGGGCGCGAGAAGGGGGAGAGCCCGAGACTCCCAGGCGCTGAGCGCGGCGGCCGCCCGGGCAGAGCCGGCGCGCGGCGTGCAGAGCGAGCGCGGCGGGCGCGCGGCCCGGGCAGCCCCACGCCCCTGCCTCGCGCGCTCCCCGCGCCATGAAGCACATCCCGGTTCTCGAGGACGGGCCGTGGAAGACCGTGTGCGTGAAGGAGCTGAACGGCCTCAAGAAGCTCAAGCGGAAAGGCAAGGAGCCGGCGCGGCGCGCGAACGGCTATAAAACTTTCCGATTGGACTTGGAAGCGCCCGAGCACCGCGCCACCGCCACCAACGGGCTGCGCGACAGGACCCAGAGGCTGCAGCCGGTCGCGGCCCCGGTGCCAGCCCCGGTGGCGCCGGCTGTTCCCTCAGGTGGGGGCGCGGACCCGGCCGGAGAGCGCCGGGGCGCCCGGGCGCCGGAGGTTCCCGACGCGCGGAAACGCGGCTTCGCCCTGGGTGCAGTGGGGCCGGGACTCCCCACGCCGCCGCCGCCGCCGCCACCGCCACCGCCACCGCCGCCTCCGGCGCCCCAGGGCCAAGTACCCGGGGGTCCCGAGGCGCAGCCTTTCCGGGAGCCCGGCCTTCGTCCCCGTATCTTGCTGTGCGCACCGCCTGCACGCCCCACGCTGTCGGCGCCCCCTGCGCCCCCGGAGTCTTCCGTACGCCCCGCGCCCCCCACGCGTCCCGGGGAAAGTTCTTACTCGTCAATTTCACACGTAATTTACAATAACCACCCGGATTCCTCCGCGTCGCCTAGGAAACGGCCCGGCGAAGCGACCACCGCTGCCTCGGAGATCAAAGCCCTGCAGCAGACCCGGAGGCTCCTAGCGAACGCCAGGGAGCGGACGCGGGTGCACACGATCAGTGCAGCCTTCGAGGCGCTCAGGAAGCAGGTACCGGCTCCCAGCCGCACACCCTCACTGCGCCCGGGGACGGTTGCTGGAGTGGGTGGGTGAGTGGCGGGGAGATTTTAGGGAGGATGAGGGTGTGTGTGAGGAGCGAGTTGTTCCCGCCCGGTCGGCCCCAGGGTCCAGACAGGTTTGAGCCCTCCTAGAGCAGTACTTTGCCACAGCGTTGATACGGATCTTAGCTTGCAAAGTAGGGGCAAAGGTTCGAGATCTCTGGCCCAGGCACGCCCTGCTTTTCCCCCCAGCCCCCGGGGCGACCCTTCTGCGCGCCTGACTTCAGCCCTCATAGTTCACTTTTATGGCAGCAAGTATTTGTCTTCCCGAGTCCCTTGGGCGCGGTGGGGAGTGGAGAGAGGGAATGTGGGAATCTGTCTCCAGCGAGGAAGCGGAGGGGGGCCGGGGGGGACCTTTCCTCTTCAGGCATTTAGCGCGGTCTGGGTCTTGGGAGGCCTACGATGCTGCGGAGGGGTGGAACTGGTTTTGCCAGCCCCTCTTCAGACCCTACCTCCTAGGAGGGATGCCTCTACACTCAGGCTGCTTCGGGGCCCTGCACCCAACCCCCTGGTATCCTTAAGGATCTGGGCTACAAGCCTGCGTCCCCTCCCCAGGGGCAGCCTCAGGAATTGGCTGGTGAGAGCCTTCTCAGGGGATACCCTCCGCTGCTGCACTTCACCTCATGGTGAAGCAGGTAGGTCTACTGAGGGGACTGGTTAGTTGGGGGATCTGCAGAGCCTAGTTCTGGGGTGGGTCAGGGGCTTCTCAGTTTGGGGCTGGTGGGTGCTGCCTTCACCAGACAGCGTCCTCTAGGGGGATGGAGAAGAACATTTATCTGAGAATTACCGGTAATAGGGAGGGGCAGTTTTGCAATTACACTTTAAACAAGACTGGGACTGCCCTGCGGTTCTAGACTTCTGGTTTTCTTAGAGAGAAGGGAGATCTAAGAAGAAGGTAGTAAGTGCCACCTGCCTGCACCCCCACAGGGAACGGGGATGGATTAGGGGTGGATGTGACTGGTTTGGACAGTCAGGTTTTTGCTTACTCTACAGCTGACTTCCTGTGTGACTCCAGGAAAGTTACTCAACCTCTCTGGGCTTTAGCCAACAACAGAGTGTTTTAGAAAACATGATCTTCTTTTTGGATCCCACTCTCTTCTTCCTCCTGTGGGCAGAGTGGACAGGTGCATGTGTCCATCCATGGGAAGGGAATTGAGCTCCTGGGAGGAAAGAGGCTCTATGACCTGAGTCAAAGTGTCTTGCTTGGGTTTGGGTAAGATGCTTGGTCAGTGATGTGGCCAGCCACACCAGCTGGGACCCTGGGCAGTGGGCCCAGTGGAACATTCAGGCTTACCCTTGGGTAGCAGCTCTGTGTCTGAATGGCTACGGAGGGTGGCAACCTATAGAGCATCCTGCAGCCTACCCCCAGGATAGAAGGATGACAGACTGGGCAGAAAGATGCCTGTCCACCTGCTTACCTTGCAACTAGGGAAACCTTGCAACTAGGGAAAGTTTGGGGAGGCCACATGCCCAGGACATCACAGCTGGTGAGTAGCAGGGTAGGGCTGGCACCTAGGTCCTTTGACTACCAGTTCAGGGCGCCTTTTGTCTCTCTGGTTGCCTCTTTCATTTCTGAGAAAGTATTCATGGTCTCTGTGTACTCAACTCAACTAAACATCTCATTTACCTGGTGGCTTTTGCTTCCTTCAGTAATATTCCACCTTGCCTGATCTTAACATCCTATCAGGGTGAATTACCCCATTTAATGGAATGGAAAACTGAGGCCTGGAGAAAGAAGGAAGGAGACTGGTCCAAGATCACCTAGTAGGTTAGGGAAGATGACAGCAGTTTCTGGAATGCCTGCCTGGCCAAATGCTTCCCACAGTGCCATCTGTATCTGTCATGTTTATTAGCGATCAGAAGCTGGTCTACCTATGACTGAGTCCAAGATGAGATTATTTAAACCCTGTTCTTTCACATCTCTGCTTTCTGTGGGGAAGTTCTACATAACAAGGACAGATGCAGCAACATACCTATGCCTCTACACATGATCATTACAAATGCCCAAGACCACATACAAATACATGGTCACAGAGGGGCCTGCTCCTGTTAGTTCCGTCCCCGCTCAAACCACTCTGTCCCTTCCCCAGAAAGCTGCCAGGTCAGAGTGGACATCTGCCTGCTGTCTGGGAGGGAAGGAAATGTAGGTAGGGCACTTGTGATCTCAGAGCCACGGGCTGAGGCCACCCCCACAAAGGCACCCATCCAATGGAGAAAATCCTCTGTCCCCCACACATAAGAGGTGCATGCGTGTAGCTCTGGATCTAGGCTCAAGTTCGACTGTTTGAAATGGGCCCTTGGCAAAGAAGGGAACAGGAGGATGGTTCTGCCGGAAATGAAGGCTTGGCCATCACGGCACCGAGATCAGTTCTGGGATTGTGGCTCTGGTCTGGGGTTTTGTTTCCCTGAGCAGCTAGCTTCCTGGTATGGTTAAAAGAGCACTGGGTGAGGAGTCTGGAGGCCAGGGTTTGAGTCGTGCCTTGTTGCATGCTTTCTGCGTCACCACGCAAAGTCACTTTCCTTCCCTGGGCTTCAGTTGCTAAAGCTGGAAAATGGAGATAAGGCTTACCCCCCACATAGCTTCTTTGCAAAAAGCAAATGAAGAAAGGAATGGGGGCTGTAGGAGGAGTGAACATTCCTTGAGCATTTATAGAGTCCTCAGTGCCAGGCAAGGCCTTGAGAGATGTGGAAATAAACATTCTGTAATCATTTTAATAACAATCATAGGAACTACCATTTATCAGATGCTTGCTTTGTGGCAAGCACTGTGCTGGGCATGTTATGTGTATTAGTTCATTTAATGAAATAGGTATAATTATTATCCTCCCCCCTCCCCCGTTTCACAGATAAGTGAGGTTCAGAAAGCTTACCTAAGTCGGCCAAGGTTGCGCACGTGGGGCCTCGTGGGTTCTGTGCCGCAGGGCTCCTCGGAGCACCTCACTAGATGTGGGTGTGCCGTGACTGCTTGGCTTGGTGAAGTCACAGCCTGCAAAGTGGGTGCCCCTGTCACTGTAGAGCCTGGATTCAAATCAGAGTCAGTGAGTCACTCCAATGCCCAGGCTTTTAAGAGCTCTTCCTCTCAGCCTCTTGAATACCCCTGGCTGTCCGCCCTCAGCACCAGCATCCTGAAGCCTTCTGTTTGGTCCAACCCACTCTGCTTCTTAACCGGGAAGGGAAGAGGAGGGAGCTGTCTGGCCAAGGAAGTGCAGGTGGGGGAGAGGCCCTCTGGTCTGGTGAGGGGCTGGGGTGTGTGCGGGGCAGATGGTCAGGCCACAGCACATGCCACCAGCCCAGCTGCGTAGGGCCCTCCCGGCCGCCTCATGTGAAGGCCATGTGTGCACAGCTGGGCCTGGCCCGTGTGCAGGGCTGCTCCAGGGCCAGGTGGGAGGGGGTCGAAAGGAAAGCCTGGCCTTGCTGGGGGGGAAGAGGGGGGAAGGGGAGAGGCCAGTGTTCTGGCCTTGGCCTCCTGGCAGCACCCTGAGACATCTGGTGTGTGTGCAGACTTCCTCTCTCCCCTCAAAATTTGAAGCCCCTCAGCCTTGATGGAGGAATGGCAGCCTTGCAGGGCAGAGGCCTGAGGTGGCAATGAGGAGCCCTCAGGACCTGCTGAGGTGCCTCTGCAGGAAGAGGGTGCCAAGCAAATTGGGCCTGCACCCCCTTCTCTGCTGCCCCTGGAGTCTCCCAGGGGATCCTCACCAAGGGAACTCACGATGGACGATGAGGGGGCATAGAGATGATGCCCCCAACCCTATCCTTCCCTCAGTCACAGACCCCATAGCATGCCAGGGGGCCATGACCCCACAGCAGCTAGGGCACACCTCAGGGAATGGGGACAGGCCTGCTTTGGGGACTCCATCCATGTGGTTGAGGGGTGATAGAGGCCTCTACTCTGTCCCCTCATGACCGGTTACCAGGGGGGCTCCTTACTGAGCCTCATTGCATTGGGGCAAGTGCCCTACCTGAGCCTATTGTTGCGTGTCTCTATGGTCACCTTCCCAGGCCTGTCTGGCCCTGGGGCCACGGCTAGTAACTACTAAGACCCCAGTTCTCAGGGTCCAGCCTCAGGTTCTCTGGGCTGGAATCCCAGAGAAGGGATTTTAGAGAACCTATTTCGGTAGAACTCGACAAGGACCTTGAACAGCTCCACACCAAGTGGCTTCACCCCCAGGAAGCCAGCCCTCACTGACATGAGAGATTAGAGAAGAATTTCCAGTAGAATCAGGCGCTCAGCTGTGGGCCGTGAACACAGTGCTGGGGGAGCTCTGTGGGTCCAGGATCCCGACGGGCTCCCAGGAGGGCAGCCTGGGCAAGATCTGAAACAGGGGACAGCTTTGAGCACTTTCGTGCATGGGCTGGTAGCTTCTTGGCATTGTTTCTCTGTAGCAGCTTCCTGTATTTGCCTCCTGCCATCCCCTTCTCAGGTAGTGGGGACTCTGGTGATCATTTTGTTGGTAAGGAAGCTGAGATCCTTTAAGGTCATGGGACTGTCTAAGGTCACAGTGGACAGCCAGGAGTGGAGCCAGGAGAGAGTTTGGCTAGGGTGTGTGGGATGGAATGTTTGGAGGGGCGTATGGTCACAGTCCCCAGACCTGGCCCTCTGAAGCTTAAAAATCCCTATGGGGTAAGCACAAGGCAGGTCCTTTTACTGTCCTAGAAGGTGGGCAATCTGTTAGGAATCGAAGGCAAGTGACTGTCCTGTCTCCTTTGCCCTGTGTCCTCTGACTAGGGGAGCAGAGCCCTGCTGAGGGGGTCCTCTGCAGGTGGTGGGGTGGCTGGTCATGCACAAAGGCTAAAGTCCCATGGGATGATCAGTCCAGACCTCTCCATCCCCAGCTCAGAAGGGTGGGCTGCCTATCCCCCCACCTTTGGTTGTAAAGGCTCATCCAAATCCACAAGCAGTTGCTTCCAGCTAGTTGGAAAGAACCCAGCTAAGGCATCCAATGCTTCTCTGTAGAGTGGGAGAGATCATTTCTACCTCACTGGGCTGTTGAAAGATAAATACAGGCATTGTGTTAAAAATACCCTTAGTGGATCCCAATAAACAGTCAGGGGTGGCCTGGTCCCAACAATCATGTAGGGTACCCAGGTATTGTTGTTCTCACTCTCCAGATGAGGGAATCGAAGGCACCTCCCAAAGTCACTGGCAAGTGCCTGCAGTTCAGACCAGCTCTTTCCACCCTTCCTCCACCTCCCAGAACTAGGACCTGCTGCCAGACTCTTACTTTGTGAGCGCCAGGCCAGAACTGGGCTTCTGGGGCCACGGGGCTGCATCCTGGGGCATGGGCACCAGGAGGATCTGGAATTAACCAGGTGAGCCCAGGAGCACCTCCCACCCAGGGGAGGGGGAGGAGAAGGAGTAAGCTGCCCAAAAGGTGCCCTTGGCGTCCTACATATGGCCACCTGTGCTGGGGGGAGCCTGGGGAGCTCAGTGGCCATGAACCTTCCTTGGGTACTCGACAGACAAGCTCCTGGCTTAGCTTCAGGTCTTAGCTGAGTGTCTACCTCTCTATATCTTCATGTGCAGAATGGGATAAGAGTCTTTATTTTGGGGAAGGTTTAAATGGGACAGATTACCTGTGAATAGCTACCATAGTGTCAGATACACCACTAGAGCCCGATAGATGGTTTCGTTGTCAGATCTGGATTTGGATAGAAGCAATGGGATAGAGTGACAAAACTGGAGTCCAGAACCTGGACTGGAGCCCCTAGGTTGGCCTTGGCCTCATCTGTTATTCTGTAATCCTGCAATGACCCTGGATCCCCACACGCAGATCCTTCCCGAGATCCCTGGTCCCCACTGGCAGGAAAGCCCATTTGTTCAGGGGCCAAGGGCTCAATGAGCCGGGTAACTCCCCGCGTGGCCCCTGGGTGAACACACCAGTAGGGACCTGTGTCACAGAGCTGCACCTAGTGCCCAGGGGCCTCTGGCAGGTAGGCACTCCCTCCTGGGAGCAGAGAAGGCAGAGGTGCTGGGCTGGCTCTTGAGACACCCCCCTCCCCTGTGCCAGGACTCCCGGAACCTTTCTGTTCCACAGACCTTGTTTATTTGTTCAGGCTGATAAGCAGGATTCTCTGAACTCTGGTTGGGAACAGGCAAAGTGCATTGTTCTGCTGGCTTTTCTTGGATGGGTTTGGAGCCACAGCGAGGACTGGGGGAGGTGGGGGACTGCACAGGAGTCTGCATTCTCTCTGTCACCAACCTGCCCCTCCTTTGGTTTCCTAGTCTGGTGAGGGTCAACTCCTTGGCTGCTGGAAGATTTTAAAAGGGGACAGCAAACCTTGCCTCTGGTGTGGGTGCCATTTCAGGGCCCCCACTGGTGGGGGCGGGCGTGATGAGCAGGCATCGTGTCCTGGCTCCAGGGCACGTATCCTGCTTCTCACCTGCTCTGGAGCCCCTCTTTGGAGACATTCTGCAGCCCCAATCGTAAGGACTCACTGACTCTGTGCAGTGTGCCTGTCGCGGTGAGGGCATCGTGTTAGCATATGAAGAGGAAGCCAGCCCTTGGAAAGGTGAGGTCCATTGCCCTGTTGCCCTGGGTCTGCTAGCCTGGGAGAACTAGAGCAGGAGGTGAGCCCAGATGCTCGAAAGGTGTATGTGCTTAAGGTCTACACTGAATAGCTAAATCTTCATCCTCCGAGAGAAGAAAGGGTTTTGAACACATTTCTAAACATTCTGGAGCCCCCTGGTGAACATGGAGGTAGATCACTCATTTATTCATTCATTCTCTCATTGAACAAACCCTTTGGAGGGCCTGTTAGGGGCAAGACCTGTGCTAGGCCCTGCAGACGCGGGCCTCCCCGCATCAGCTCACAGGGAGACTGGCCATTAAATGAGTCACAATAATCAGGAGTTAAGGACAGTTGGGGGGCTATTAGAGCACTGTTAAGGGCAGGTGTCCGCTCCAGCACTCCTCCCCTTGTCCCCTCGTTTAGGGTTGGGAGGGGAAGGTCAGAGAGAGTTCCTGGACAAAGTGAGAACAAAGTGGATGATGCATTTAGGGCCCCGTCTGAGGTGACTGTCTTATTCATGCTTTCTCAGTCTCTGCACCAGTGACATTCCGGGCTGGGCAGTTCCTTGCAGTGGGGGCCTTAGAGGACCCTGTGCATTGCAGGGTGTTTAGCAGCATCCCTGGCCTCTATCCGGCAGGGGCCAGTACCATCCTCCCTCCCCTGCTCCCCAACACTGACAGTTAAGAATGTCTGCAGATATTGCCAACAGTCCCCCGAGGGACAGAATCATCTGCAGTTGAGAACCATTGGCCCCAAACAGGGCCTGGTATATGGGGGATACTCACCAAATACTTGTTGAGTGGACCTGCTGGGGCGACCCACTCTGCAGGATGGGGTTAATGGGTACCAGAGTCGGTGGTAGGGGTGGATGCTGGGTCTAGCTCTGGAATGCCAGAGAGAGGAGAAGGAAACCGGAGCCCTGGGGGCTGGGTGAGCGGTACACCAGAGGAGTGGTATAGGCTGTGTCGGTTTGCCCCCATCAGATGGACGTTGTGGGGTTGTTTCCACATCTCAGCTCAGAGCTCAGCCGTTGTCTTCATTGTTTTTTCTCAAATGCACGGTACAAACATTGGCGGACGGTGTTCGAAAGTTGGACGCTCTGTCTCTTCACCCCGTACAAACCCGTGTGCAATTAGTGAGCGTCTACTTGGCGAAGAGTCACCGACAAGCATGTCAAGTCTGGTTGGGACTGTAAATATTTATGATGCACCTGTTGCATGCCCAGCAGCACTGCAGGTCCAGAGGGCGTAAGGAAAAAAAGAAAAGAAAAAGAAAGCCCTCCCAGCTAAGCACTGGCACGTTCCTTCTTGTATGTTCCCAGAGTCCTGGGTACCTAACTCTTTTATGACATCTCTCTTGAGTGTGAGTTCTCTGAAGTCAGGAATCAAGTTTTTATTTGTAGTTGGACCCCTGCGTGTCCAGCAAAACAAGGGTCGCTGAATGAGTGAGTGAATGGAGTATCAGAGCTGAAAAATCTGAGAGACTCCTTCTTAGGGAGGGTGGGGGACAGAGCTCTGTCACGGTGGGAACTCACATGCTTCATTCCTCTTGCCTTGTGGGTGTGAGCTGAGCCTCAGTTTCTTCCCCTACACAGTGGGAATGTGGATGTCTCCCGGAGTTTGTGAGTGGACGAGTTGAGATGCGTGTGGGAAAACAGTGGGTGCTTAGAACAGAAAATAGAATACTGGTCAAGGGATTCGACAGGCCGCCTCTGCTCCCTGGCGGTCCCCTCTTGGGTAGCGGGACATCATTGTGAGTGGCCCCATTTGCCTGGCCAGGGTGCCCTGCTGGGCTGTGCTCAGTGCAGAGCCCCCGGCAACCCCTCCTGATGCCTTCTCAACCCCCAGGTGCCGTGTTACTCCTACGGGCAGAAGCTGTCCAAACTGGCCATCCTGAGGATCGCCTGTAACTACATCCTGTCCCTGGCGCGGCTGGCTGACCTCGACTACAGTGCCGACCACAGCAACCTCAGCTTCTCCGAGTGTGTGCAGCGCTGCACCCGCACCCTGCAGGCTGAGGGACGCGCCAAGAAACGCAAGGTATGTGCCAGCCACGCGGGCAACAGTCTCCGGAGGGGGTCGGGAGAGGTGGGAACAGAAATAGGGGCATCCCACTCTCACCCAGGCTTCTGAAGGGGCCAGCAAGTTCAGCCTTCTAGAGGTTTGCTGGGAATCGCTCCCTGGGATTATGGGGGTGACCCTATTCCTGGTCATGGGGCTGGCAGGTACCTTGCACAGGCACCCTGGGCCTCTGGGCCTGGGTTTGCTCCCTTCATGTGGAAGATGGTGTATCTGAAGCTCTTTCTGGTTTTTTGTGCTCTGGTGCTGATGTGCCCAGGTGGCCCCTGATAGATGTTGTATCAGAATGAGCCAGAACGAGATCCTCTGAGCAGGGTCACAGACCAGGAGAGCCCTTCAGCATGTTTGGGAGTATGACTTGGCCTGTGCATTACCTGAGGCCGTGCTTTAAGGCTAGTGATGTTCGTCATTCATTCATTCATTCTGGAGAGATTTGTTGATTGCCAACCATGTACCACGCATATTGGGTGGGGATATAAAGGTGACAAACGAGGTCCCAGTCGCCATGAAGCTCCCAGGATGGCCAGAGTGGCCCTTCTGCCAGTGGATATGGGTGGTACAGTATGGCAAGGTGGTCTCGGAGGTCTGTGCTAAGGGCGGTGGAAGGCCAGGCAGAGGAAGGACAACTCACCTCTCCTGCCCAAGGGAGTTGGAGAGGGCATCTTAGTCTGGTCCCTCGATCTGGGACCGGAAGGACAACCAGGTCACCAGGAAGATGAGACAGGGCACAGCATCTGAGACAGAGGAACCAGCCTGTAGCAAGCTTGATGGGTTTGGAGAAAGATGTGTAGGAGGAAGCGTGGTGAGTGCAGCTATGTTCCCCGAATGGCCTGTGCCCCCAGCCTTCCCACTTGGGGGTCAGCGCCGGGCAGCACTGAGCACGGCTTATGGCAGCCCTCTGGATCTCTGTTCCTATGAGGGGAAGAGACAGAGAAGGCGGGACCCAGCCTGTGTCCGTGAGGTGGGTGGAGGCTGGGAGAGACGCCAGGCCCCCTGCGCATCCAGGGAGGGAGAGGGTCGGGGAGCCAGGTGACTGGCATCCTCCATCCTTCCTGGCCTGCCTCTCCCTCTCATCCCTGACATTCCTCCCCCCAGCCCCCCTCCCCCGCCCTCAGCAGGCTCCTCCTTGGGTCCTCCAGGTTTCCCAGAGGCCTCTGGGCCCTGAGCCAGGGAGGCCCCCCCATGGACTCTCCTGCCTCCGCCGGGGAGGGCCCCGCATGTCCTCCCCGCCAGCCAGTCACGGCCGCTGCCACGGTAATTGGACGTTGCATTCCTGGGAATGATTTAACGTGGACCAATTAGATGAAATCCTCATCAAGCGGGTGAGAGAGGAAGCGCCACTGGCTACTGGCAGGGCGGCTTTCCTCTGGAAAGTGACACGGGTAAATTAAGGGCCTGATTGATGGCTCCATGCAGGGCTCTGTGACAAAGGAGGTTTATAAACTCTGGGTGAACTTCCCATGGCATTCGGGCGGCCCGGAGGTGAGGATGGGCAGGGTGGGCAGGCGCCGTTTGCTCCCAATCCACCCCTCAGCCCCTCACCTCCCCCCGCACGTCCCCCCTCATGCGCTGAAACAGGAACGCCGACCCTTCCCTTCCCTGTTCCTTGATTGGAGCAGATAGAGTCCTGGGCTGGGGAGGACGGAAGGGGAGTGGGGTGAAGAAGATGCCCAGCAGAGATGAGCTTTTGGCTCCCCCTGAAATCCCTTCAGGTCTAAGACACCTTAGAGACCATCTGGTCCGACTCCCCATTGCCCCGATTAGGAGACCGAGGTGGCAGATTGTGGTTCGGGGCATCCAAGTCCCTCCTCATCACCTACCAGCTGTGTCGTCTTGGACCCATTTCTCCACCTCTTCGAGCCTCGGTTCTGTTGCTGATAAGTGGGCGTGGTAGGAACGTCATCAGTGATTTCTCTGGCCCTTTCCAGCCTCCGTGCCCAAGTGGAGGTCTTGCCTCTCCTCGGAAGAGCAGGGGGTATCCTGCGTCCCCTCCTGCTGGGTGGCTGTCCCAGGGGCTGTGCCTGCAGTCAGCACTGCCAGGAGGACGTAGATGGACAGGGTCTACGACGACTTGTCCAGTCCCAGTGTTCTGCCCTGGCAGGCTGGGGGTTCATGGGGCCACCCTGTTTCTGTGGCTTATGCTTTCCTGCATGTCTGTCACCGTGCAGGTTGATGAGTCCTGAGGTGTCCTCAGGGAGGGCCCAGTGACCTGCCCAGTGGCCCTGAGTGGCTGGGGCAGGCCACCATTCTGTTAACTGGAACCAGGGGGCTGGTGTCCCTGGACATTCACTTGATGATTCATTCATTCAATGTTTATTGAGCATGTGCAGTGAGCTCCGCACTGGGGCTTGGCCCTCCATAGTCCCTGTAGACAGAGTGGATGGATTGAGGGCTCAGATCGAGCCTCTGTCCCCCCTCCCCTGTGGCCACTGAGGGTTTGGGGATGGGAGTGAGCCAGGCTTACATCCTAAGGAGAGAGAGGGAAAGCAAAGAAGGGAAGAAACTAGAGAACGCGGGCCAATGTAAGTAAGTGGCTCAAAGGAAGTCCTCTGTAAATGGCAGCTGTGACGGGGGTGACCCTCACCAGCGCGACTGATAGCAATTTCAGTTTTCCCCTCGATGGCGCCCTCACAGTGAATGTGTCCCCAAGAGGCCGGGTGACCCTTTCTCAGGACACCTCAGTGAGAGATTGTGCGCAGCGTCCTCTGAGATCCCTTGTAGTTCTAATGAGCTGCCTTGACGCTCCCCCCCCCCCGCCCCAGACCTATGTTAAGAATGGGATTTAAAGTGAATTCAGCCCCCCCACCTCCTGCCAGGCCTCAGGTGCCCCCTTTTGCCCATCTCAGCCCTTCCCTGCCAGGGCGGGAGACCTGCATCCCTTGACCCGTGGGTCCTCTGTCTCTGGGCCTCATAGGACAAAACTTGGAGGGTTCAGAGCCTCGTTTGGAAGCCAGGGTCATGCAGAGAGGCCTGTGTCGGAGGCTGCCCAACCCAGGGATGGGGGTGGGGGTTGGGGTGGGGGGGGTTGTCGTGGGGGGAGGGGTGGATGGGCCCTAGAGAGCTCAGTTCTGACTCTGTAGTTGGAGATAGTGCACGCTAAGCACCTGGCTCTGGGCCATGTTTCTGCAGCTCCTGTTTTTAAAGCAGCAACTCCTGGGAGCTTCGGAGGAGGAGGAGGAGGAGAGAAAGAGAAAGAACAGCAGGACTGTTTCACACCTGGGCTGGGGTGGGGGGGGGCGGGCAGCGAGGCCGGGAGGGAGGCTAACCAGACCTGCAGAATAAGAAAGGACAAATTTCCCACAATCCAGGGTGCCCCTTTCCAGTGACTTTAACCTCTGGAGTAATAATCAGAGCAAGCTAACGGCTACTAACATTGACGGCATATTTCAACCCTGGTGCTAAATGGCCAGCAAGTCTGTGCCCTCAGGGTTGCTTGCAGGCCATTTGGGGATGGGGAGAGAAAAAATGTCATGATGCACTGAGTTCAGGGCTATTCCAGAAGCCTGGGCGGAGATTAGGGGATTAGGGCCCCCTGGGGCTGTGCCAGCTGTGGGGAGGCTGGAGGGAGGCTGGCTGTGCAAGGCTGGGAAGTTGCTCCTTACCCTGTGGGTGCTCTGTCCTGGAGGAAGCGCTGAGGCTGGTGCGGCTCTGTCAGACTTACAGCTTCCCTCTTTTCCTGCTGCTTTCTAGACAGGGAAGGCTTTTCTTGGTGATGGCAGGTCCCATCTCATGTGCAGACTTCGTAGCTTTGGTGCTGGGGACAAGCTGAGGTGGTACATTGGTTGTGGGTTGGGGGGTCACTGGAGCCAAGGGTGTTTCGAGGGGCCCCTTACTGTCTGAGCAGCTGAGCCCAGGCCTTGGACGGGACCTGGTGGCTCCTGCTGTGTATGTGGACCGTGCCCAAGCCCCAGAGCTCGTGAGGCAGAGTCTCAAGAGCTCCTGCTCTGGCTGGATCCAGCTGCCTGTGTGCAGGGCCTCCTGTGTCCCCAGAGTGTCCACCGAGGGGCACTGCCCTGGCTCTGTGCCTACCTGTATGTACATAGTCACCCCCACTGGGGCCTCAGGGTCTACTTCTGTAAGGTAAGTTGTCACCAGAAGTGATTTCTAAGGCGTTTTGGGGTCAGGCTTTCTGAGCTGAGGTCCCTCAGCTCCTTTTTCTGTCGGAACGACTAAACGCCTCACTCTTACTTTCTCTGTGCCCTGCGTGGGCTTTTCACACAGATCTAAAAGTTGCTCCCAGAGACTGCTGGGACCCCCGTGCAGTGCATCCCAAGAACACTGATAATACCTGAGGTTCTTAGAGCCTGGATTACATGCCGGGCATGGTGCTTAGGTCTTGTGATGGATCGCCTCGTGACTCTCCCCGCCAACCCTGCGAGGTGGGTACCGGTGCTGTCCCATTGCCCAGATAACAAAGCTGAGGTTCAGAGCCTGAGGAACTTGACCAAGCTCCCTTAGCCAGTAAGAGAGGTGTGCCGTGGCCCCTGCCCTTCCCTGTCCTGCCTCCCACATGGAAGTGGGTGTGCGAGAGGAGCTTCTCTTTCCATATCCTCCCGGCCAAGTTACTGAGTTAAATACCATTTGCCTTCAAAGCCCATAGAGTCCATCTATGCTGGGAAGAAAAGGGGGGGTGGGTGGGAAACCACCATCAAATTCCCTTCTAGTCATAAAAATGGATGCAATGTATTTTTTCTGGCATTCCAATTACACAGACGTTTGTCGCCAACTGTTTGGTCTAACACGGAGTGTTCTCTCAGCTGCCGTTTCTCCTCTCACATTTGACATCATTAGTCCACAGGTCTGGCAGGCACTGGGCTGGAGGGATCACTGGCTGGGGAGCCTCACAGGTGAGCTGGGAGCCAGCTTCCCCCCCGCCCCCGGAAGGCAGAACTCGGCCCTCTGATGTTCCCCGGGTGGTCCCCGGTTGGGGGGGTGGGTAGAGGCAAGGTGCTGCTTTCCTC